CATGAGCTGAACTCAAAGATCTAAAACTTTCTCTATGTACACAAAAGGCCTATTTGTCTCAAATACTGTTCACAAATCTGTCAAAATCTGTGTCAGTGAGCACTTCTCCTTTGCTGAGATAATCCATCCACCTCACAGGTGTGGGTATATCAAGATGCTGATCAGACAGCATGGGGATTGCACAGGTGTGCCTTAGGCTGGGCCTCAATAAAAGGCCACTCCAAAATGTGCAGTTCCATCACACAGCACGATGCCACAGATGTAGCAAGTTTTGAGGGAGCGTGCAGTTGCCATGCTGAATGCAGGAATGTCCACCAGAGCTGTTGTCCGTGAATTGAATGTTCCTATTTTAACCTATTGATTGGGAAAATACCTGTGCTGACAAGTATGCGTTATCAAATGATTTTAATGAACATAGCCTATGGCTTATACAGATGGATTTTGTCTTGTAGTACCACTCTATTAGTATTTTGCATTGTTTATTTTTATTACACAATATGTATTTATTATGTGTTTTACTACATGCTGTGTTTTTACTTTGACTCATGTTATTAGCTCTGAACAGCTGTTTGTAGGAGTTTGGGAAGTTAGACAATGGGAGTGGACTCTGAAGGCAACAGGCCCAATGCATTCTGAGTTTTGTAGGTTTTCTACATTTTAGCTTACGTTTTCTCAGGGAGCACTAGTTTCAACAATATTTGTGTCTTTTATTAAAAGGTTTTCCAGCAATAAAATGTTCCTTTATGTACACAAAAGTGTTGAAACCAAACATTTTCATTACATAAACTGTATTTTGGCTGAATGGAAGTTAATATATGAAGTTTCTTTACCTTGACAGCCAACGGAGCAACATGTCATCACTGGTCAGGTTTGGCAGTGGCACAGAGAAAAGTATGTCCCACATTGTCTTTGCATATGTACACACAAGATTAACTTTGTGGCAGGCACTGACAAAAGTTCATTTTAGACCCTGGTCACAACCTCCCCTTCGGTTCCTGAGTTATGGTCAAGTCAAGTTTATTTATAAAGCACATTAAAAACAACCAGAGTTGACCAAAGTGCTGAACAAAGTTATACAGTAGAAAATATAAAAATTAAAACCAGATAAATTAAAACAAGTCAAACAATGACATACAGCAATAAGAAAAACAAGAGAGTTAAATAAAAAATAAAATAACAAGAGAGCAAGTGCCACTAAACAGACTCAAACGCCAAAGACTAAAAATGCATTTTAACACGAGACTTAAAAGTGTCAGTGGTGGGGGATGATCTAATAATCAGGGGTAGTTTATTCCACAGTCTCAGGGCCGCCATTGAAAAGGTACAATCTCCCTTTGTTTTCATACAACTGTGACTGTGGGATGTCTAAAAGGGATTGGTTTGGTGATCTGAGGGGTCTGGAAGAGTGATAAAACATTAGGAGATCTGAAATATAAATAAATATAAGCCAGTCCACGTAATGCCTTAACAACAATTAACAGCATCTTAAAACTCAACTCTATATTTGACTGGCAACCTGTGAAGAGCCAATATTGGGGAGATATGGTCCCTCTTCCTTGTACCAGTTAACAATCTAGCAGCTGCATTTTGAACAACCTGCAAGCGTGATGAAGATGAGTGACAGATGCCAGAGTACAAGGAATTTTTTTATAATTCCTCAATTAGGGGAACCAAATAATATTACTTCTGTCTTATTCTCATTTAGTTGGAGAAAGTTTATTACCATCCAATGCTTGATATCATTTAGACATTTAAAAATGGACTGTAAGGGCTTTTAATCACCTGGCTTCAGAGGTAAGTACAGCTATGTATCATCAGCATAACAGTGATGTAATATATTATGTCTATGGAAATGGAGCCCAAGGGGAGCATATACAAAGAAAATAAGACTGGCCCCAGGATTGAACATTGAGGTATTCCACATTTAATTGCTGCTGAAGAGAAGGGAATGTTACCAATGTTAACAGAAATGGTTCCATCTTTCAAGTAGGATTGAAACCACTGTAACGCAACACCCTGGATACCAACCCCTTACTGGAGGCCATCCAGGAGGATGTTATGATCAACAGTTTCAAAAGCCACGCTGAGGTCAAGCAAGAGTAAAGTAGCACAATTTCCAATTTTCCATCAGCAACAAATCATTCACTACCTTAAGCAGTGCTTAAGCAGGGGGCGGCTGTGGCTCAGGGGTTGGCCGTTAATCGGAAAGGTCAATCCCGGCTCCCCCAGGCTGCATGTTGAAGTGTCCTTGGGCAAGATACTGAACCCTGAATTACCCCTGGCGGCTGTTCCGCCAGTGTATGAATGTGTTTGAATGTTAGTTTCTGTTTGAGCACTTAGGTTCAGTGTGTGAATGAATGGAGGAAGTAGTGTAAAAGCGCTTTGAGGGGTTAAAAAGACTAGAAAGGCGCTATCTCCAATATTTTGGACATAAATGATCATTTAGAAATGTCCCTAAAATTATAAAAATCTATAGGGTCAAGATTGGGTTTTTAATACGACGCTGAATTGCAGCATGTTTAAAAGTGGATGAAACAATTCCATTTAGAAGAGACAAAAGGCTAGGACCAAGAACATCTAAAACCTCTTTCAAAAGACACGAGGTGACAGTGTCTGGAGGGACAAAAGTAGGCTTCATGTGTGACGCTATATAGATCAATTCTGACAAGGCCACAGGCTCAAAACTATTTAAAGAAACAGGCATGGGACTAGCTCAGATGGGTCAAGACCGGAAGGTGAGATACCAAATCTAATGACGTCAACCATAACAATAAAGAACCTCAGGAACTTTTCTGTAATTTCAGAGGTAGCATCAGGGAGTGCAGTAGCATAGTTTAGTACTGTGTTATTACACTAAACAAGGTTTTAGGGATATGTGCATGTCTAGCTATAATATCTGAGAAAGACTTTGTTTTTGAGGCTTTGACCAGGCGTTGTTAGGCGATGTTAGGAAGTTTCCCAGTATTTCGTAGGACACTTGCAGTTTATTTTTCTTCCAATTCCGCTCTGCCTTCCTGCATTCCTGTCTAAGGGCATGAGTCTCACTATGGACAACAGATATGAATGTTAAAATCACCAAGGACTAAAATCAAAGTTATCAAAGTTGGGCACAAACAACGATAGAAATATTCATGAATAGTACTTTGCTGTTCTGTATAAAGTGCACAAAGTAATGGGCAGGACAGTTCAACTTTAAAACATTGCACTTCAAAGCTAGCATAGTTGTCTACCGACAGAAGTCTGCATGTAAAGCGACAGTCGCTAAACCTCCACCCTTACCTGTTGTTCTGGGAGAACTAAAAAAGTTAGTCACTGGGGGAGAGTTCAGAAAGAGGACTTAGATCCCCAATAGTAAGCCAAGTCTCAGTTGAACATAGAAAATCCAAATCACGTAATAAAAAGAAATCTTTTAGGAAGAAAGTTTTATTTGAAAGTGACCAAAGCCATTTTCAAAGGGATATTATCCAGATTTTGCGCTGCTCCTTTTTGACCCTTTAAACAAGTAATGATTGTATTAGTGGCCAAGACAGTTTTGAATTGCAGGGAACGGTTATCAGATTGGACAAGTCAGTGTGTTAGAAGAAGTAATTTTGTTGATTCTGATACTAGTCACAACAGGTATGCTGTGGACACCATTAGTGCCTAGTGATGTGGCAGTACAGCCTCCTGGCCACTGGGAGGAGCTATTGTGGTTAGTAGGTGAGGGATAGGTTTGCTGGTGAAGAGAAGAAAAAGTGGGCCTGCGACAGAGGATAGTCAGGGCAAAGTAAAGGTCCAGATATTGTAAAACGGATTGTCGGTGAAAATACCAAATATGATTTGCACATCGAGTGTTGTGAAACCAAATTCAGAGGATCTGTGCCGACGCTTCACTTTTATTTGAATTTAATATAGAACAGGACTCGGCCGACATTGTTCCAGAAGGACTTCCAGATCGGCCTGGGTCGAATTGTGCCGGGTGTTTGGACCCCGATACTTAGTTTTAAAATGAAACTATATATTTGTGAGGACCAATTAAAGAGTGGCGTCTTCAGAAGGAACCAATGGGCTTTGTAGCGACAAGCGGCCCTTCTGCAAGGAAAGCCCGCTCTCTCGGGTCACCAACTCCGGGCGCCCTTAGCGCATTATGACTTCAGATAGCACTCAGGAAAAAGGGCGACCTCTGATAACGAGCTAGTTTCAGTACTAGGTACTGGCCTGAGCGTCTGTACTGAATGTCTGACTCCAGATTCAGAAGTTTCCTGGTCAGCCACTTCACTCCTCTCTCACTTTAGGTTGCAGAGAGTAGGGCCCTGAACACATCACCTGGAAGGAGTTCCTTAAAGGAGCAGTTTGCTGCTGATCTGTAATGAGCTGTGTTAATGTCGGCAGTGTGGATGTTAAAGTAGAAGAATACTAACTTACCAGTCCGGAAGAGGAGGAAGAAAATGAAGACAAAAAGAGACGAAAAACTCTTTCTAGTTTCTTCAGGCGTGCACCCAAAGAGAAACTGATTTATTTTCAACAAGTGCAAAAACAGAAGCCCCAAAAGTTCCCCCTTTTCTCCTCTTTCGCCCCTTCTTCTTTATTTTCCCCTAATTCTTCTTGAGCTCTGGGGTCAGCAACTGAAATAATAATGGGCAGGAAGGACCTCAGCCCTTTTCCAAACGTTCATTGGCTGCTATAAGTTAGCCATCACACTGATTGGTTCTTACATTCTGACCTCACATCCTTCCTCTTCTTTATAGGTACCGTACACTTCCTGCCAGTAGTTGCAACACCCCTTTGCTCTCGTCACAAATGAACAAGAAAAATATAAAACGCATCATGTAGATTCAACAAACTGTGATTGTGTAATCTTCTCATTTCCAAAGCATCCAGAGCAGATACAGCAGGTCTCAGTTTAAAAACAAGACTAAATGAGCATTTCTTCTCTTCTACATCTTAAATGCATCACACAAATGAAAATCACACACAAGAAGCAGAAAAGACATCAATCATGGGTTGTCACCATCTTTTTGAAAGAAAAACCTTCCTTCTGTTCTTTAATCTCAAAATGATGTTGCTTTCATTTTCACAGTGGCTGCTGACGTTTAGGCAAATAGTGCCTTCTTTCCTGATTAAAATGATTATCTTGATGTCATCAGGGAATGCATACATGAGACGTCCTTACAGAAGACAAGTCTTACCGTTGACTAAAAATGATAGAAGCGTAAAAAGTAAAACTCTTGACCTTCCCCTCTGCATCACACCTTTTTTCACACCTCCCCTCATGTGCGCTAGATACACAAATGCGTCGTCAGGGACGCTTTAGCTTTTGGTTTAATTTACAGCAAAAGAGTGGACCTTAGCTCCTCTGTACTGGAAACTAGCGTTATTTTGAGACTTGAGACATGTCTGTCCGTACCCAGACAAAGGTTTCTAGAGGCAAAGATGAGGTCCGGCACAAGAGATGCAGGACTTATTAAAGAAATAAAGACAGCATCTCAAATTAAACATCTTTCTTCAAAAGTTCTACTTTTGTAATCTGAGCTCAGCAGTTAACCATTATCACTCTGAAAGCAAAGGCAAATCATGTTACTATATGGCTTTAAATGTGTCAGGCAGTCAAACTGTGTCTGTGAAGGCCCCCCAAGAACCAGAACCAGAGGCTTATCCATCACTAGAAAAGAGTAAAATCCTGGACTGAGCTGATGGTGGGTTGTGAGGCAGCTGAGATGAGCTCCTTGGAGGTCCTACTCTGCTCCCTGAGCTCCTTCCTCTTCAGTCGGCCCTCCTTCAGCTGCAGAAACACCCGGGTTATAATAATCCAGCTCGATGTCCTCCTGCCTGCCCGGCTTCTGCCCCCTGCTGGCCTGGAGAGACATGACAGCACACACATGTGAGTTAGTGCATCACTCCTCCTCTTCTTCAGGTCAGTAAACACAGAGCGAGTGCTTCATCTCAGGCCTCTAAACAACAGACGTGTGTCAGTACCTTACGGTAGAAACAAAGGGCAGCGATCACCAACAGCAGAGTCAGCGGCAGGACGACCACTTTGATGAGAAGACCTGTTGGATCTGATCAAACGCATGGACAGACATCACATCACACACCATCATGAGTCCATCAGCTCCCATTAAACACAAACTGTAGAGACCTGAAATCTCCCAAAACCACTTCAGTCCGTCAGGAATCTCTATCAACACATATCTGAACGCAGAATCTGGAGAAACAAGCAGAGCCGTCGCAACCAGAGAAGAAGTTCAACTGCCTAAAGCCTCCAGCTGAAAGGGGGTCCTCGAGAAGGGCTGATTATGTAGGCCTACTTGATCCACAGCAATGACACTGTATTAGCACCTTTTAAATACTATGATCAGTCGTAAGCCGGAATTCCCCTAACGAGGCCCCGCCCACTAGTTTGCAGCGTAGAAACCTCATGTGGGCAGTGCCCACCTGTAAAGAGCTTTGTGGTGGCAGAGCGAAGAATCTGGGGGCAAGAAACAAGCAGAGGGGCAAAGAAGTTCAACTGCCGAAACAGTTTATAGTTGTTTTACACTAAACAAATATAATTTATTGTGCTTAAACGCAACACAAATCCAGCTGTTGCCCTTACAGCCAATGAGAAGGTAGAACAGCGTTGTCATGGCTACCAGCTACAGGTGTGCTGGAAGCTGCAGTGATGTTGACAGGTACGCGTCCTGCATCTCTGAGTCGTTAAAATATATATTTATAATAATATATTAAAATGTTCAGTTCTAATCCTGAATTTATTCTAGTTAACGTAACGTTAATCGTGATTATTTGAGGGTTCATGTGTTTATCGTTGTTGTTGGACAGAAGTAGGAGAACATGGTCTGGAAGCTGAATAAGCAGCGACATCAAGTCTGTCATCAGAAACTAATCAGTAGATCTCTGCAGCCTTTGTAATGAAGTTCGACTCTGTTTATGTAGCTGTCATGATAAAGAGTGAAATCAATAAGAAGATCTGTGAAGGTGACGTTTCAGCTGCTCTGCTTCAGCTTACCTGAGACAGTGAGAGACAGCCGACGGCTCTCAGAGGAGAAGTCATGAGAAAAAACATGGACGTGATAAACACAGCTGTAGCTTCCTTGGTGGGCGGGCTCTGCGGCAGGAAACAGGAAGTGGGCAGAGTGATTGACAGCTGGCAGGATGTAGTTGTGTGATGTGATGGAGGAGGTGAAGGCGAGCTGGAAGGAGCCTCCTGGGTACTGTGGCTGGATGGAGCAGCTGATGGTGAAGGTGGAGCCCCTGGACACCTGAAAGCCCTGCTGCTGGGCCTCGGAGACCCCGTCCACGGAGGAGGACGCAGAGATGTTGGGCTGAAGCAGCAGGTCTGTAAACACAGATGATGAAAGGTCACATCAACAAAATGGCCCCTGAAGAAGGAAGTGATGTCACAGGTCTGACACGGGTAACAAACATGGAGCAGAGCGATGACAGACTGTAAAAGGAGGGACTGGGTCCACCTGGTGGGACGTCCCCAAACACAGAGACAGACAGACAGACAGGTTCCTCCAGGTGTGTCCTGTCAGGTGAAGCTTCCAGAAACAAGCCCACCTCTCTACACTTTAGGACGTCACTGTCCTGGAGAACTTTACAGTTCAGTCCAATGGAAACCACTGAGACACTGAGACAGAGGAGAGGACACACTGGAGACATTACTGTCATAGATGATGTCATAGATGATGTCACTGATGGGCTTACCTGAACAGGTGAGATACACGATGGAGGAAGAGTAAAATGATGATGATACACACTCCCTCAGAGCAGATCCAGACTGAACACAGTCAGTACTGATCCACCACACAGGTCTGTCTGAGGACTCCTCTCTCTGTCCTACAGAAACAGCAGAGCCACAGTCCAGCTCTCTACAGACCACAGCTGCTGTCTTCAGGGTCCAGCAGAGATCGGTTCACTCACTGGTCTCCAGTCTCCCTGATGTTTCAGCTCCAGTGTTCCTGCACAGCGACTGGCTCCTCCCACCAACCTGACATCATCAGGCTCTGAACAGAAACCAGAGAGTCATCAGTAAAACAATAAAGTGAGTTTCATCAGAAGAGAAATGAAGCAAATCAAAGCTGCAGCTCCTCTTCTACCTGAGCAGGTGAGTCCAACAGCTTTTCCAGTTGAGCAGGTGTTTCTAGCTGAGCCTGAGCTTCTACAGTCCAGGAGAGCAGACTCATGGCCTCCACACTGGAACTCTTTGGTCCACATCGGAGCCTCCACTTCTCCATAGAGCGCCCCCTGGAGGACTGAAGGAGCCCCACAGCCGAGCTCCCTACAGACCACCTCTGCATCCTGCTGGTCAAAGTCAGCTTCACACACTGAGGACCACCTCTGGTTAGACTTCACCTCCAGTCTGCCTGAGCACAGACTAGTCCCGTCCAGCAGCCTGACAGAGTCTGGAGAGATAATAGAAGATGAAATAGAGATAAAGACAGCAGACACAAAAGAAAAACATGTCATGAAACAACAATTCAGTGATTCAAGGTGGACTCAGCACAACTCCAACATCAGTTCATCATTAACAACAGAACACGTCTTTCTACCAGCACAGACTGCAGCAAGTTCACCAGCACATTTCCATTTAATACTCTGTCACACTTGTTCTCCACGTCTGAACACTTTCAACATGTTTCCAAACAACAGCACAACATCATCATCTGCAGATTTCTCTGCTCTGTTCCTTCTGCTCAGCTACTCCACAATCTTTGCTCTCCACACAAACAAGTTCAACACTTTTCATTCTGTCTTAATGTTCTAAGAAGATCTGGAACCCAGAAGAAAAAGCTGCTTAGAAAATGCTCCAACAACTCTAACAGGGATAGGGGCTGGACTCTCTCCTTTGAGGAGCTGCCAGGGTGGAGGACGCCACGTGGGTGTGGAGATACTGACGAGCCCCCGGCTGAGCTCAGCTGCTCAAAGTTGTGTCCAGTAAGCAGGGTTGGGGAGTAACGGATTACATGTGACGGCTTTACGTAATCGGGATCCAAAAACAGTAGCTGTATTCCGTTACGTGGCACACCTGAGGTAGTGTGAGCACATTTCACCTGCTTTCATACAGGTCGGTAAACTGTAAATAACCCAGAACTACTGACTTTATAACATCAGGCTTTACTAACGTGATTCTTTGTTAAACGTTTAGAGTGTACGATGATTTCTGACATGTGTGAAGAAAGGAAGTCAGTTTGTCCTGTCAACATTTCCCCGTGATGACGCCATGTTGGTGCTACGAATACCGGACGTTTAAAGTTTATGGTGGGAAAGTGTTGTGACGGCTCGTGTTCACTGTAGATATTCCAGATGTCTGTTTGATAAGATGTTTATAATTAATATACCTTGCCAAAATGACTGACTGCAGGTACCTGAATATTGATACGTCTGTTTTCTGCTAAATATATGGTTAGAACATGTAACATGAACATTTTCTAGTTACATTTCAGTGGACTGTAATTATTACAGAAGGTTAATGTCAGTGTTGACACATTAAAGGGGCAGTACGCCTCAGCTCAAGTTAGATTAGACGTATATTAGACGTAAATGGTAGTGTTTAGAGCAGTTACATCCTGTAAGGAGAAAAGGTCTTTAAATGACTAAAGATGTTTACTGAATGTGAAAGTCAATGGAAATGTGTTTATCACAGAAACAGTAAGTGACCAGAGTGAGAAGAGGTTTTATTGAAACGGTGAGAGTGTTAATATGTGATGAAACTTTATTGGACCTGGACATTGAACTGAAATGCTCAGAACAGAAACGTGTTATGTTTACATGATTTTGAGTTGTTTAATAAAACAACCAGAGAAGCAATCTGGAAGGAAACGAGACGCACCGTCTCTTCATTGCTGCTGTTTCACCTGCTTTCATACAGGTTACATATCTGTGACTGAGGTACCCATCCCAGGGCCCCGTAACAGGTACAGTACAGAAAATAAAGACGTCATCAGATTACAGGTACATCTGGGATTACTCATAGGGATTACTTTAAGCAGGACGTTTCCATGAAACAGAAACGCTGTGCTGTTTGCCTCCGTATATGTTTTTTATCTGCAGTCTGGGGTGTCAGGGCTTAAAGCAAGAAATCTTTCTGTGCCTGAAATGTGTTCGGGGTTTACGGCAAAGATGGAGGGTGGGGGGCCAGAGCCTGACTCTGTGTTGAAAAGTGATGGGGACATAGGGGCTCAGATTAGGGGTGTGTCATACACTTAGCTCAGGAAACATGAGGGACCACGATACTGGGTTCACAAGAACAAGATGAGAAGATAAGTGTGCACTGTTTTGATGAAATGTTCAATGTGGAAATACATGGGGGGGTCACTTCCTGCATTCTGGTAACATTTTCTGCCACCACCTCTAATCAGTGCTTGAAGTGGAAAATATAGGTGCTGGTACTCAGGGCTGGGCAATACGGCCGAAAATGTTACCACGATAAAACATTTCATCTCACTCAACATGGATTATTCTCAGGATAAAGGTCAAATCATTGTTTCTTTCAGGTTTGATTTTATTTTTATTTTTTCAACCTGTCCTGCCCAGCAGCCTGGTGGAGAGTATGATGAGCTGGATGTTGTGCCAGACAGATTTTACTT